TATGAAAATATATCCACATATTACCAAGTGCTGCAATTGAAGAAGTCATAAAAGAGTTATATAAGCAATCTAAATGCCAGTTTGTTCAGGGCATTGTACTTAATCAATATGTCATCCAAACACATATTTGTAATTAAACAAATGGATTTTCACAGGTGAAGTAGTATTAGCAAGCTTATAGATGATACTGATGATACCAGTGATGACAGTAACATCCTTTTCATTTTCGTAAGTGAAAGTAACATAGGGTGATTAAGTGACTACTTCTAAATGGAGGTTTATGAAAACCTACTAAGATGGATGGTTGCAATACCAATCATTGATCTGAGGGATTTCTGGTGAATTCCTCCCTCCCCCCCCCCCAAAAAAAAAAAAAAGAGAGAGAAAGAGAAGAGATGGATCCAGACAGCAGTCCTCACAAACACAGTTTAAACAATGCGATTTCACAGTTGCTTAAAAGTCACAGAGCAGCTGCGTTGAATTGTAAAATCTGCAGTTTTATTATGCCAATGACTTTCTATTGGCCTCAGTCATAAAACAACATACTCCTCACTGAAGTTCTCTGCTAAACAAAAAACACATCCAGACTGACTAAAAATCAAACTCAGACAAGCAAAAAATAATTTGGCCTTCATCTAGCTGGGCTTGATTGGCCCAATAATAAACAATTTTATTTTTCCTCTTCACTGCTACTCCTACTGATAATAGTGATAATAATACTGAAACCTTATTCCCAATGGAAAAAATAAAGCACTGAAAAGTAACTGTTGCTGAGAGGACTTCACAAATAGTACTTCATGCTCCTGCAGAAGGTAATGGCATCCTGAAATTTTCCTGACTTTTTTCTGTTACTGCTTTTGTACAGATTTCAAATTTGCCAACTGTAGAAAAGGATCTGCTGAGGAGGTTTCTCTCCAGCAGGGAAAGAATGCATGTCCCAGTCATTCACAACTGCTTGGGAATTCAGGCAACAGCTTTCAAACAAATTATTGCTTCTAGAGTAATAACTATTTTTAGCCCCCATCCTCAGTGCTGCATCTGTACACTTAGAGGTTACATTAAGGTCTAGTGTACTGTATACTTTAGGCAGAATAAAAGATCTAAATATAGCACTTACTTGAACACAAAATAGATGTTCCAGATAATACTTCAGGCACTGAAACTACTACAACACCATACTGCTCATAGATATAATGCCAAAGCATCATGGACAACAGCCCTTTTGACAATTTCTGCAATGGCAGGCAACATTTTAATCACATTCATCAAAATGAATGTAGGAATATTCATATATATGTATATATGTGTATATATGTAATATAGGTAGGAATATTGCCCTTTGCTCACTTAATGACAATATTCAACATCTGATTTCTTCATGCATTTTAGACTCAGTTTTCTAATACTGAATGTCATTTTCTCATGCTTTATATTCTCTCACAAAAGAGACACGTCAAATATTCAAAGGATGGCATGCCAGGATAGAGGGGGTACAAAATCTTGAAAAGTCTATAAACAATCTAATTTAAACAGTATCAAGTTATACCTGTATACTTATGTCTATTAATTCTGCATTTATATTGGTATTTAATAGTCACACAACAGGACAAAAGATAATATGGTATGTCATGGCTAGGATCAGGGTATCAAATATTGAATCAGCAAGAATCCTCAGAAGATATTCTGATTATCCAGATACATTTCTTAGATTTAATTTAATCTTTTATTATGGTTACCTTTAAACTCAGAAAACGGTGAACATTCATCTTCTGAAAGTATAAACAAAATTTATCTCTGTGGACATCATCTGATGACTCATCTCTTGGGCTTGGGTTACTATCAAATCAATTTTATTTTTGTTACAACTACAGCTAATGTAGTCACTACACTGGCAATGTATACCATTTAACCTTAGGACTAATATTAATTTCACTGAACTAAAAACATAGACTGCAGTCATTTAGTATACTAACTAAGTACACAAGCATAAAATTGAATCTAGATTTCTCTGCACTTAAAAGGACCCCAGCTGAGACTGTTCAACTTTCAGGTTTAGCAGCCAGTCGAACCGGAAGGAGCCTTCTGTACCTGCCAGAGACAACATTTCAGAATGCTTGCAGACTCAGTCTAATCCTGAAGTATTTCTCATTTTCTATTTGGATGGAAATGGTTAATAGATTAACTCATTCAGGTCAACAGGAGCTATTCAGTCTTCTGCCTGAATACAACCTTACTCTTCCAGTGAAAGACCAGCACATGAGAGTGAGAACATCATCCAAGTCCCCACCTTGGGACCCAAGAGGGCCAAAGAGGAGTTATACACCCCCAAGGATCCTAAACCTGAACTACAAAAAAACTGACAGCTAACAAAGTTGACTTTATAAATATGAGATGCAATGTCTTCCAGACGTTCCCAGGCATTCACTGCTTCCTAGACTTATTGTTTCATTTATGTGAAAACTCAGAAACAAAAGCATTGATTATCTAAAAATTAGCAACTTCAGTATTTCATAACAAAGCCAGAGATTCAAATAGAAAAGATGGTATCTGGGGACAAATTGTGTAACACATGTGCCTTCATGCTGTCTGTGCATAGCTGAAAAATGAAGTGTTCTCAAGGAGTACTGGATGATTCCTGGAAAGCTGGAATAAATCATAGTGAAGGTGATTCAGAGCTGCTCAAAGTTGAAAATTGATGCTTCATTGCATTGAATTGAGAATACACCAATAGTAGACCAGAGTCATAATTTAAATACCTAAGCTCTCACATCCTATATTTGCATTTGGTGTATATGTAAATTCTCTTGAACAAGAACATCAACCCAGGTTACACAGATCGTGACAGAAGTCATTCATTTGTCCCCATCAGTTTTTCAGTTTTGTAAGCCATAATCTTCCAAAAATTCTGTATGGTAAAATGTTGCCAATTATGACAATAATAAAAATTAAAACTAATTTTCAGAAAAACTCGATCTTCTGAAATTTACACATCTTTATCAGAAATACTCTTTAACTCGCCATCCTTAAAAGACAGTCATCTTTACCAAAACATGCTGTCAGATTCATTTTGATTGTTTCTTTCCTATAATGTATCAATTCATAGAATTAATCTTTCTACTTGTATTTTATTTTCAGTAATCAAAGAAAGGAAGCCATCACCCAGAGCTGTACTGTAAAGCAGAATGTTACCTAGTGCTGCAAAACACAATACATGATCTTTGTTTTCTTTAAATGATTCTAATCACAGTTCCATTGCAAATCCCTCCTTGTCAGAAAGAATGTAAAATTTGGTCAGTTCTGGAGTTCTAGCAGACCTGAACATTGACCTTGCACATCCTTTCTTTCCCTTTTTGAAGCCTCATGAACTTAATTTGAGTGTGTTTCAAGGATCAGTCTGAAGCAGTGTTTTTGAACTCAGCTGGGTCATAGGAACTTTCTCAGCACTCTATTCTAATTTGCAGGTTTGCTATAATAAAAGCCCCAAATATATTGCTACTGTCTAGACATTTTATCTGAAACAAGTGTCCTTTGCAGTCTCAGAGGACTTTTCTATTTTATTTCCAGTAAATCAAAGTCTGCGAAGAGCTTTGGTTCTTATTAAGACATACCCTTCACAGTCCAGCGGTTGCCAACAGAGGCAAGTCATTGACAGTTCATTTACATATAAGTGATGACTTCCATCAGGTAGTTGGCTCAAAAGTACAATGGACATTTAGAGCATATCCAATATTTCTTGTTCTTTGATGAGCATCAAGTGCCAATTTATATATAGAAACTGACTATCGGAAAGTGAAGGCTTCTTTTCATTGACCTTACACTGTCTTTTGCAGACATATTGGAACAAGTTCATTCCCCTAAAAAGAAACATTAAGCAAGTCAATACTAAGAAACAGCAAAACAACTATGAAAGTTGTTTAATAGCAAAAACACCCTCTCATATGCATTGGTAGTATGAGTTACTGTTCTGCAAAACAATCAGTGGGGCAAGATGCGAGTTCCCAGGGGGCATGAACCTCATGGTGCCACAGGGCCACTTGGAGGTATGGAACTGCTGCTCTCTCAAGCAGCTGAATGAATAGTTGCACTGTCAAGCTAAAAGCCCCAGGGGAGAAGGAGCAGGAACGCAGTGCATTCAAGCATAACCCAGATGTCACCCTAGTACCAAATGCTGATGTAATCACAGCAGATTCAAACACACATTGACACAGCAGAGAGAGGTGATTGGGCTGCTGTGGGATGCAGCTGGCTCAGGCAAATGCAAAAGGGAGTTTAGTTATTGATACAACATTATGTTTGGGTGATACGGGTTATTGAAAGAATGGAGGAACCATTGGTGACCCTCATCCATATGCTTAGCAATAGTAACAGATTTTGGATCCTCTGCTCAGAGAGGATGCACATTACCACTCAGGTAATACCAGTTACTTTACTTTCTGTGTTCAGTATTGGAAAGTTATCCACAAAGTCAAGAACAAAGCACAGAAATTTTTAGAAAATAATAGAAATATAATACAAATAATAGAAAAATCTATTTAATAATAGAAACTAAAAATAGAAACAATAGAAAAGCAAATATATATAGATATGTATATTTTCAAAGCCAGAAGCAGACAAAGGTACCTTCCTTATAGAAGATGGATAGAGCCAGAGTGCATGTTCTGCAGTAGCATCTACTCAAAATATTATCTTGTACATTTATGTTTAAGACCTAAAAAGGCAGAAAAAAGGAATCTTCCCAGTTACCGCACTATTTCCACTCAGAGAAAGCAGGCAGAATCCATACACCAGCATCAGTAAGTGCTGAATTTCCTCTCATCCAGGTTTTTCACTGCCCTCAAAGCTATAGCAAGAGTTGTGCATATGCAACATGCCCATGCCTTAAGACTACATAAAGGAGGACAGTTATCTGATAACCTAGTTGGTCATTTCTATTCCAGAAATGATGATTGATTACCTCCCTTCTGCCAGATGTTTCAGCACCTTGTTTGGGCTGAAGGGGCAGAAACAGTTGCTGATGGACAGCTAAACTCCTAAACAGAGTCAGCTGAGAGTGGGTGAACACTTCTCCTGGTACAGCACATCTATTTTAGAGGGTCCCCAATGCCTCTCACCTCCAGGTAGGCTGCATGTTGAACGAGCTGCTGGTGTGCCTGTGGGGCAATGGAAAAAAAAACCTCTGTGAAAATAACAATGAGTTTATTGCACCTGTTGTTAGCTGTGCTTACAGCGCAAAAGAAACAAGCAGTACCTTTTCTCCTTGATTCCTCTCTCCACATTAAACAACAGATTTATGACAGTGATGAGAACAGGTGTCATACTGCACGCACTGAGAAAAATCAGGAGTGCGATTGTTTTTTTTAGGCCCCAAATTCTGAAATACTTACTGACTTTTTAGCGAACGAATTGCCTCTCCATTTACTGAAAGATGGATAGTATAAAGCCCTGTCCCTTACCAATTTGAAAGACAAATATCCTATTAAAAAGCAACAATGTTGGCTTATCCGTTGCTCTGTGAAGATTGGTACAATTTTACACTTTTCAGTTGCCTAAGTCACGATGTTTTGATCTTCGAATTCACTGTGTACGCTGCACACTGATTCACCCTATCAAGTGCACACTGTTTGGTCAAAAATGATGTAACATGATGGATTTTCACATTTATTATGTTCTAGTTGAAGATGTCTTCAACATGAAGGAGTTTGGTGTTCTGCTTACGCCCAGATGCAATATTCTTTCCCTATGAGAAAATGTGTCAACTCTGGAACTTGATTTCTTTAGACTTCACCAGTTTTTCAAGCAGAGGCACTATCAATTTTGATCAGAGAGGCACGCTTCTGTCTGCCCTCTCATTGAAGAAGTCACTAATGCAGCTGACACTTGAAAATCAGGCTTTTTTGACTTTCGATGAGAAAATACTGCAATTAAAAACAAACAACAACAGAAAGCCCTTAGAAGTTTGATAGAATAGGTTTTCATCTTGTTTCACGGAGTTCAAACTCATATTCTAAATAAACAAATATTTAGCTGAAGTGACTTGACTTCCCCCTGTTCATAGATCCAGGCCATATTTGCAAGCAAAATTCAATGTTCAAGTGTCCAAGAAAGACACAATATTACTATATTTATTCCTACTTTCATTTTTCAGTCACCGGAACTCCTCAGACAATAAGTTTGCAGGCAATATAGAACCATTTTCCATGTGATTAAAGTGAAGTAACTGCTGTTCTAGATTACTCTCAATTCCTTACTGGATCTTTCTTATTCAAACATGATATCATGTCCTTAATTTGGCTTTGGTGTAACACACAAGTTTTTAAACTAGTTTCAAAATTTGCTAACACAGTTTCTCAGTAACATTTTACATTTTTTGAACAAGTCGTGTCAGATATTTAAAATGCAAACCTCACAAAAAGGTAAAGAACCACATTGAAAATCTTATGAAGGAAAATACTGGAAAAGGAAGATAATTACCGCATGATCCTATAACTCCAGGAATCTTCCTCTATTATTTTTTCTGCCCTGAAATGGGCCATGTTTTGCTGTGAAGAAGAGGACTGTGAGTGCTAGCTTAAGACATCACAGCATCATTGGAAGGGAACTCAGTGATTATCTAGATCCAGCTCCCTTGCCACAGCAGGGTTGTCAAACACTAAATCAGGCACCAGATTAGGTTGCTCAATGTCCCAGTCAACCTGCATTCCTCATGCTGATCAGATCAAGAAAGAAAAACATCACCAGCACACAATAAAATTAGAGTTCCTGGCATCCATCCATAAAGAAAAATGGGACCAAAAATGCACCAGACAATGATACCTACAGAAGGACAGTTCACACAAAAAGTCGTAAGTACTGACACATTAATTCCTCAGAACAAGACACTCTATGATCATCTTCATATAACCTGGAGATATTCTCCTAAAATGCAAGATCAAAGGGAGCACTAGGGAATCAGAGATGATTGCATTACCCAAAAGAGGACGTGCCAGTGATAGCAAAACATGTGTTTTTACAGCTAAAAGGTAAGTTCATCATAAGGAGAGGATAAATACTGTTATCTGTACTGCATTTGTATAACATATCCTTACCAACTTTGCTCTCACAGTAAATACTCACTTGAAAATAGGACCAGCACCCTGAGAGCTGTGTTCTTGGTATGTGTTTTGGCTTGCTTTAAAGTAAAATGAAATAGCATATATTTAGCTTTAAAATGGCACATATTTGGCACAGTTTTGATGAATAGGAGAGTTTACCATGTGGCTATTACTTTCTACAGAAAATAGACTATTCAAAAGAAATAACAAGAGCAGGATGCTTTCTAATATGTTCCAAAAGTAGAGAAAACAAACACAAAATGCAGGCAAACAAACAAACAAACGACTTTGTTCTGCGAATAGTTTCACATGTGAAGAAGCGGCACTTTGCTGCCTTGATGCCCAGTGTTATTTTTCCATGGAGGAGGACCAATTCACTTCTGACAAGATTAGGGTTAATGCCATCTCAGTAACAGGTAGGCAAATGACTTCCACAGACATAAAACAATTTGTTTTCTTTTAAAACTACATATTATTAATACCGCAGATGGTTGAAAATAAGCATACAGACAAGCATGGACACATACCCCCCTTTTGTGCATTATCTAGAACCACATGACTGTAAAAAATTAAGTCAACAAGACAGTCCCACAAATCACGCTTTTGCTGACAGTGATCTTGCAGGGTGTGATTATCAAGAGATAGACATTGTGAAGTAGGCTAGGGACGAGGTGGGAAAGGAAGATCTGTTTAAAAAGGATTATTTCCTGCATTGCTACAGTCAAAATAGCCAACACTGTTTTTGGCCAGCATGTTACTCATGCTGTGCCTCTACCTCCAGCACGTTCCTTATGAACCCTGTTAAAAGGTTATTTGTACCTTCAGCACTCAGACTGAACAATGCAAGTCCTCAATTAGAAAATGCAATTGGAATTGCTGGAGAATAATTACAAAAAGTATAGAAAGCAACAATTGCCAAGAACATATTATGATTTCAAAGTCTAAGCAAGCCTCTCCTCCATCAGTAGTGAAAACAAGGAGACAAGAGGAGAATAACAACAGAAGGGATAAAAAAGAGAAGCAGCTGGAAGAAATAAGCAGAAAGCCCCAGAATGGAAACTCTCTTGGCAGGATCTGTGGAAAATAGACCATATCCATAGAGTAATTGTATAAAATAATCCATTACCAAATAAAGATTTATATAATACACATATTTAAGCTTTGCTTCTCTGCTCAAGTAAAGAAAAAAAAGGACATTTGACTGCTCAGAGAACAGTCCAAATAGGAAGAGTCAATCTAAATTGTTTTTGAAACTTCTCTTCATCTGCATGTGATACAACTGGTCTTTTGATCTTTTGCATATGAAGAAGACTGTCTCACCTAAACTCTCCTTGTTGGGTAGAGTACATGGGGTTTCTTAAAATCTCGGCATTGAGATAATACCAGAAGTGAGACTGGGTAGTGGAAGTACCTGAAACAAAACTAGGAGTATCCCAGAAAATAAACAACCCAAAACCAGAGCGCTAAATTTGTTTACAACAAAACCTGACCATAGAAAATATTATATATTATATATACATATATATAAAGTATTATATAATTACTCCTCAAGACATTTCAAGATACTTATAGAGCAGAGAAATAAAACTCTGCCATAAGCCACATCTCCATAGTTATCTGATGCTATTCAAAAACTAACTTGCTGTACAAGTATATTATAAAGCAAAAGAAGCTACTTTACAACATCTTAATGACATGTTGTGATGAGATACTGTCTCCTGTGGGCCAGCCTGAAACAGATCATTTAGCTGAAGAGGTTTTGATTTGTTCATCTCTGCAACTGTTCATTGCTTTTCACAAATGTTTCAAACACACTTAGCAAATACGTTAGTAAACTTACCTTGGTTGTTTAAGTTTTTAAGTTTTTTCCATCAAATGATGCTGAAGAAAGAGCATACTTAGGTAACATCACAAATACAGATATTCAGATTTTGTAAAGCCAGCCATTAAAACCTACTAAAATTAACTTACTAAAACTAATTGAAGGTAAAATCAAGCATGACCTGGTGCACTGAAAAGTAAAGGAAAAAGAGCCAGTTTCCATCCTTCTTTGAAACTAAGTCTACAGGCTGAAATCTAGAGTGACATCTCTCCTGTTAGCCCTAGGAAACTATTTTTAGTTTGAATGAACTATATCTAAGTTACTTTTCAGTTTTAAGATATTACGATAGAGATGCATAAGTCACCTTGTCTGTTCAGATGGATGCTACTACATCAGTTTACTGTTGAGAGTTATTGGAAGTTACAGCAATTAAAAAGAGCTGTGAAGACATGGCATTTAATTTTTCAACCTCTCTATGGACTTAAGACTATAACTATTTTGATAACAAAAACAATAGTTTTTTGTTTGGTTGGTTGGTTGGTTTTTTACATCTTTCTTGGACATTCTTTCTACTTTGGTGGCTATATTTGCAGTTTTATAGGAAGGGCTGGGAAGAGTAGGCTGTCTCTCACTCACCAGGAATGTCATTTCTCTACAAAAGGTCAGAGGAAGGGCTGCTGGCCCATGGTTAAGCATCCTTGCCTGGCCTTCAGGGCAGCACCAAAGACAAAAGGTTCAGGAATGTGCCTGTCTCCAACAAAACAGGTTTATCTATCTGAGCACGTCTTTTAAAATTGGAAAATGCAATGTAACAGCATTTGGAGAAAGGAAACTGAAGGTAACTGAGTCCCTGAAAGCTCTTGAGAGACAGACAAACTCATTTTAAAGGAAATCTATACTTAATAGTATAAGCCCATTTGAAATTTACAAGGTGTAAGTATTTAAATTTGTTAACCAAAGGAAAAGTGCGGCTTATAAAGTTTACAATCTACATACATACAGTATCATGTTTAAAGTAACGTCACAAGATCCTGTTAAAACACATGCAGTTGCATAGCAGTTCTCTTACTGTCTAATTCCCTGAATGGGCCTAATGGTTCCTTTACAACAAGATTGCATTATGATACAGCAGCATGGAACTGCTGATGTCTCAAATCATTTGTTATTATTCTAAATCTAGAAGGACAAAAGAATGCCATTTCTAAAGGAGTAGAAGTGACAAAAGAAACAAACAGTATAAGACACAAATGTTTTTGAAATATAGCCAGGGTACAAACTTTTCTCTACATATAAAATAAAAAACTGCTGCATCGTGGCTCCATCAGAGCTTCTCTGTTTTAGGTACCATATATTCATGCTGGTAAGGGATTGTGTTCTGTACATTATGGTTGGTTAAATATTTCTCAAAAGTTAATCTCCTTCGAAATTTATTAAGTAGTAAAACTAAAATTCTATTAACCTTAATGGGATTTACACAAGGGAATTCACACATAACGTGGATGCAACAGTAATGCTTAATACTGTGCCAGGAAAAAAAGACAAGCTTAGCGCAGCTAAAACCATCACGTTTTCTATTTATGTAGTCCTTCACAAGGGTAATCCTCTGCATATTAAGGGGAGAAGAAAATGCAGCGGTTAGTATTTAATCTTCTCAGATGCCAAGTGAGATAGCTTCACTTGCCAATAAAGGGTGGTCTTACTGCTGTGGGACGTTGGTAGAAGGATTGACAGGCATAATCATTGCTTTTCTTATGAATCCTGAAAGTGCTACTGCTTACATTTTCTGCCGTATAATGCTGTATATGTATATGCATAATTACATACATACATTACTATTGGAATACATTCCTTGTAATACAATATATATGCAATTTAATGACTACATATTCTCCTTGAATATGAACAAGCCATTCCTCAAAAACAAACTGAATTAAAACTCCTCAGATTTTTCTCCAAAGATCATCCATCTCTATGGTTTCCAGCATAAAATTATTTGTTCTGT